TACCCACAATACGCACGGTCTTGTACCCACAATACACACGTTCGTGTACCCACAATACGCACGTTCGTGTACCCACAATACGCACGGTCTTGTACCCACAATACGCACGTTCGTGTACCACAATACGAACGTTCGTGTACCCACAGTACGCACGTTCGTGTGATTAGCTTGAGTCGTTGTTTGATGCAAGTAATAACGATGCACGAGACTCGTGCGCCTGCTGCTGCTAGGAGATCAATATCTCTATTATAACATCCGGTGAGCGCTGGATGAGCCGGCGTGTTTGCTCCCATAAAATAAATGCTCTCTAATAGCGGTGCTGCTGCTGGTGTGAATCTCGCCCAGCGGAATAATGTGTGCTCGATTAACACTCGATCTCTGAGGCTAGATCGACCATATATTCTGAGGATAAAAATTTTTACATTATAGTGTGAGTAATATGAAGCTACTTAACGCGAAAATAATATTTTTCATTTGATTGAGGGTAATCGCTTGACGGAGTTAATGCATCTTTCAAAAACCAAATCATAATTTGGAGGTCATCTAAAAGATATTTTACGAACTGTTTTCTCAACAACGAATTATACTTGATTGTTCTCAGAACACTTCGTAGGAATTGAGCATAACAAATAAATGATTAGTTGTAGTGTAACAATGTTATTAACTCATGACATAAACATTCTAAAATTAAATTGATCTTTGATATATCATTTCTGCCATAGTTACTGACATGTCAGGAAGCTCTCTATTGCAGCACCACAGTATACATAATCCTCGGCTTCATTAATATATGGATTACTGCGCACTGAACGCGCAGTAAAGTGACCAATTTTGAGCTTCGTTGCACTAGATGGAATATCTTAATTTATCTTTGCCATCTATGGTAATTTTAGCACCGCAAAGCTGTGATATGGTGTCGCCAATGTTGCCAAGTGTTGCAATGATTCAGTAGAGCGTGAAGTGTAAGCTGTCTACATCGGTAGTTTATGTCTCCTATAAAGCACGCATTATTTAAGCGTGATATTTGCACTCTTTATGAATAATTGAGTTCAAATAGTTTAACTGCACAGTTATTGTAAAACTGTTTCATTACTTAACTTAGCCATCAAATGAAGTATATTATTATTTGCAGTGTATTAAACGGGACTCTTTCATATTTAATTATTGGCAAAAGACCACAACATGTTAGAAAATTTTTAGCCGGTGGGTGAAGTTAGATCAGAATTTAAAAAAATTGAGTCAATTAGAATAGTTTTTCAACGAAACCAATCCCTGATTCACCGCAATCGTTATGATTCATTATTTGACATACAATTTAGACTAAAGCATTTCGAATTTCAATACACTCCCATATCAGGCCGTCGGCTCATGAGCATGGCGATCTCCTCTCAGTAAAACAAGTTATTTCTGTGAGAAAACAAGTGCTTTCCGCTCAAATGCACTAACGTTCTTTAGTGGACTGTGTACGGTAATGGACTTCAGTGAATGATAATTTCATCTATCTGTTGAAGATAAAATGCTTCCTGTCTTTATCATTTGTGATGGTCGATTAAAGCTTTAACACGGGACAGATTACATTACAATGAAAAATTCCTTAATGTCACAGTCAAGTAGATATGCTGATTGGAATAAATCTTAATTAATATGCGGTCAAATATAGAATATATCTTACTCGGCTGCACTTAATTTGAAAGTTCATGAAAAAATTAGCGTACTTAACTAAATTATAGGCATGACTTTGGCGACCTCTTTCAAATCCACTACATCGTTTTGTCTCTCAACCAAATCCTAGTTCATTTTTTGTTCGTATACCGGCCTTTGGAACTCGCGCTTCCGAAAGCCGCAATAGAACAACTTAAGTTAAGCCTATCTCGATCGGTAAACACAACTCTTTCAGTAGTAAACTAAATACGAACATACAAAATTTACAGCAGGAGATCTGAAGTTGTGCAGACGCCTCAGGCCTCTCAAAGGATGATGGATTGACAGCAAATTCGTTTACTACATTATTGCCGTTCAACGCGTTTCAAGAGATTATAGTACAATTTTATTTTTCGTGGCAAATTTTAGGTACCCGCTTATTGTTTGACAATTTGTGTTGAGCGTCATCTGTCGATATAATGTCATGTAATTAATTCATATATATACAGCGGAAATTAAACACTGCATGGTGTGCAAAAATTCATTCCAGCTTCATTGATGACCAAGCCTGGCATTGTATCATGATTATGCAGAATCAGAGCAAGTTAATGGGCGTCCTAATTATATATACAATCTATATTTCTATTCAAACTACGGAATCCTTGGACGAAAGGGTTCAAAAACGTTAAATACTGTGAGAAACGATGTACCAATGAGAGGAAACCCCGTCTGTAACATTTATGCATGCTTTTTTTGAGGCATTCCAGTTATGAATCTCAAACTTGAGCTTACCTCAATCCTATTCACATCAATAATGCTATGTTTGACAAAATAATTCTCTTGAGAGATTGAAAGACACAATAAAAAGCGTGGCATTGTGCGGTGCATAACATGTGCGACTCTTGAATGTGCCCGCAGGCCCTCTTCGACTCTTTAGGGATCTCTGTGTACGGCCTCCGACCCTCTCACTCTACGGCGCTCTTGAGGCCACACACACAAAGACGCGACAGGTGATAGAGATGCTCGAGACTACACGCCGCTCTCCTCCAGCGTCTCCTTTGCGTCCGTAAATGATATGATATTGACACGCACGTTACGAGTCAGTACGCAAATTTGTAAGGTAAACATTATCGTTACGAGTCTAACATTACATGAATCAATGTATACATCTAGTTATCCACGCCTATTCATAATAGTGACTCGACATTCGCCAATTGAGTAGCTAGCACAACGATAGATTCAACGAAAAATTGTATAAATTTATGGAATGCGTTCTTAACAACTCCTGAATTCGCTTTCTACGATGGATTAACAATCTTTAGTTTGGGTTTTACGAATTTTTAGCAAGAATATAGACAAGGATTGATAATTTCACCAGCATCTCATTTTAATGAAAAAAAATATTATAATGCAAAATTTCAAGAAATGTCGAGTTCATGCGTAATTTTTTAATATTACCAGGATTCAAATCGTCTAAATTTCAAGTCTTGCCACCTGCATCCTATGACTCAATGGCTGCGCCCTGAGGACAGAAAACCTGGCCCGAAAAGCGCTACAAGTGCGATGCCATCTGGCGGCCGAGGCCGGCACTCCCTAATGAACAACGCAAACAAAAGGAGCGACTCTTTCCTGTACTTCAGTCGCCGAGTTTACCGCTTCTGTGTAAAGCAAGAGATGTAATAAAAGAGGAAAGTAATGGGATCGCATCTGGTACTAAGAAAAAGCTGCAGATGAAAGGCTGTGGCAAAAAAAGAAATTTCATAAAATGAATATTTCATCCTAGAATTACCAAGTTTAATCTTTCATTCTGATGATTGATGGGTGGCACGTTTCTACCGCTAATTGGAAAAATTTAAAAGACCTTGTCACGATCTGGCCTCTGTTTAGACATTCATTTTATATTTGAATCAAATTGTAACTTCCTTGATCGCACTAGAATTATTCATTAAACAACTCACAATATTATCTCTAATCAGAATTATGAAATATTTATTGTATTACAATTATTAATAATTTTATCATGAGATGAAATTCATCCGCCATCATCATTGTATCCCAGACACATCGAGACACGATATCAGCCTGGAAGCCTGCGCGCTGGAGTAGCAAAGCGCTGGTCAGCAGCGGCCTCTCACTAAATTTTTCCGCTCCATTTGGTTGAATTGCGTTGGACTGCCTCAGTCTTTACCGCACTCAAGGCTTTTTATTTCACGTCAATTTAGGACTTCTTCTTATTGAATAGCACCGACCGACCGGCTGAGTGCTGCTGATTTCTCTCGGGGATACCGAGTCCATCCTGCCTTCATTTTTTGAAAAAAGTCCCTCCTCAAAATGTGAGACCTTGTCACTCTTTATCGACGGTGTAGTAAAAAAAAACTCCTTGTTGTTCGTAAAGCTTTTGTGGTAGTTGCATTGTTAAACTTCCAATACATAAAACAATCAATTTATCCAGCAGCACACGCTTTCGTGGTATTACATTTTGCAACATGTTTGTAATGAATAAATGATTGATGCTTGGTACCAGTTGTAACTTACATTTTTTCTGGTCCTTATTTCAAAATTTGTTTTCCTCATATGTCAATTCATCGAATTGACCTAATATCTAATGCACTATTTGAGTGGAGTAAGAATCCAAGCAACTCAAGGCAATAGCTGACACCCTAACCTAAATACTGCGATTTGCCTTCACAATTCATGGTCCGAAAAGTTCTCCACATCTCCACCGGGTCCTGCAAATGTGGCGTCATCTCAGGAATGGCTTTCATTCATCAGTTGCTGAGCACATCGCTGCGCTGCCGTCACTTGACCCTTCATTTGACTTACTTTCATCCATGACCAGCCTTCCAGCGACTAAAAGCCGTAATGAAACATCCTCTGATCTGTGAGAGTTCGGTGCTCGGAATGATGGACAATGATATTTTACTGCCGGAATATTGTGTACGATCACTGTTGTGTGTGCCAGTAGCAATGCGAAATAAATTTAAACTATTGAAAGATTTTCATCTACCTAAATTTTACAAGAATAATTAATTAAATTGAATCCCCAAAATTTTAGAATTAGAAGCATAGCTGTTTTCATGTGATACACATGAATTTCATCGTATGACCACTTCATACACCATTCGAATTCTAAAATTTGTACCAGTTTTTCTAATCTATCACAAAATAAAACTTATATTTTAAATACTTTTCTAGTGGTCTATAGTTCCAGCAAATGTTTGGCGTGCCTAACTAGAGAATTGTTCTAGAATTTCTTGCGCCAATTTCTTGCTAATCCATTATCTATATAATCGTTAAAAGCCAAGCATACTCTATATAAAGGCCTGGTTCTCTGGTCTGACAGCAGACGACTACTTGACTCTCCCGGCTAAAGCTCCTCCATAACCGCAAGCTGATCACATTTGAGAGACGATGAAAGGCTCGCTGAAATTGGTGGTGGCGTTGGCGGTGCTGGTGGTGGTCCTCGGGATGCTGGGTGTCTGTGAGGGACGCTACCTCCCCACCAGGGGGGATGAGGCTCGTCTCGAGGAGATCAGGATGATGCTCAGGGACCTGCTGGAGGGCGCTGCTGGGGGAGCTCCACGGTTGGTCAAGAGGGACGTCGAAACTGATAACTTTCAAGCCAGAAATTCTTTAACTTGAACCGTGCAACAATACTAAATGGACGAAGTACTGGCAGTTTTCTTCAATTATTCTTGACGTTAATTATTGAATGAAATTGATTGAATGTTGAAATTGTACGTACAAGGGAATAAAATGAATTATCTGCAACAGGAGCACTAGATTTATTTTCCTCAGCAAACTGCACATGCACTAATATAATAGTTTATTTTAAACATTTATTTATTTGTTGATTTCCAAAGAATCACTTAATTAGACAAGATTTTTGAAGGATTCATCTGTCATATCTCTTCCTTAGAACAGAATAATTCTTCTATCACGGAATTCCATATTTTAGGAAACCAACGTTTCAAACCTGAGAAAATGAAATTGAGAATTAAGATTGAGTAACTTATTTTTACACTCAAATAATCTCGATTGTCTTTAGAGTGTATAAATTCACAAGATTGCAAGCTTTCTGGTATCCCGATAATTATTATAATACTTGATGGTCATAATGTCACTAGTTTGCTTGAATCGTAAATTCACTAAAAACTTAATATCAAAGAATACTCCACAAAATTCATACTATCTATATAGAAAACGTTTCCGAGTCCTGCTTCATCGTCAGTTCGAAAGTTTTAAAACAAAGATACATCAGTAATTTGTACAGTCAAGATTACAAAAAAAAACTAAACGTTAACGCCTATATATTTACAATTTCAAGTGGGTAGGAGCTAAAAGCAAAATTTAAACTAGGCCTCTTTTTTAAAATATACAATGATTCTAAATTGCGTAAATCAGAAACACCGGAAGTAGACGCTAAAACCTTGAAGTCACTTTCAGAAATTGGAACATCGCGCTGCTCGGCGTGAGCGTGCACAGCCGAATTGGGAGATGCTGCGCGATAGTGAGTGACCAGTTCTACAATTCCTGCCCCTATGTTCTGCGACCCTAGAATAAAAATTGCTAGACGTACGTCATCCCGACGTACGCAGATGAACATCGTGCACACGCTCTTGAATATTGCGATAATGTCGTTTTATAGCGGCTATGATCCCGTGGCAAAAAGTTTATGTATATGAGGGCAGTATTTAATTTATTGAAATAGAGGGACAACCGTCCATAGAAAAATTTGCACCCACTGTGTGAAAAAAATTATGAGGAAAACGCGGAAATAAAGCAATATATAACCTCAGACAAGCGGGAAAAAACTGCCAAAATTGTATGAAGAGAACCGGATCAACTTAAGGTCCACTTAAACAATAGAAAGCTAAACCTTCAAGTCTATCTAACGGCAAATATAACCGATAGTTTTTCAAAAGTGTACACAGGTTGGATGATTGTCAAAAAGTAACCGAGCACCTTGCTAGAGCAAACTGAAATAGGGCGAGGGTTTCTTTTCACAATTACCGTTCAAATTATCTAAATTATAAAGCGTTACTAATAAGAAATCAGTTAGAACTATTCTCTATACAACCAATTGGTTTTATCATCTTCATTATTTCTTTACTTTACATTATTTACCACAGATTGGTTTTACATTGTTCGGGTTTATGTGGGCTTTGTATTCCATTTCCATTGAACTAATGCTGACGTCTTAGTTGTTTTCTTGAGAATATCCGACGTTTTCAAGTTCAAATGTTAGCTTGGTCTGGTCTATGCACTTACGGAACAATTGATCACAGTAGTTCTATTTAACCAAAAAAGGTCTAAGCTTAACTCACCAAATTATTTACAAACTACTGAATATTAATCTAATAATCTCGATGAAAAATCTCTTTGGACATCATAAGCTCTCGACTAGTTCTGATGCTATCATTTGGCGTGCCAGAATATTTTGAACAAAAGGGTTGAAGCAGGCACCAAAGGTCTAAACAATTAAGACAAAAACTGTACACAATAACTCAATTTCAAATCGTAGTTCGAGGAAACCCGGAAGTATATTTTATCGTCAGCACCGAATAAATAAAATTGCTGAACGATAATTTGAACGATGATTATTTCATTCAGCGATATTGTCGATGCCAGATGAAATGACGGTTGTAGGCGGCTACAAAGTCTGAATGATTTTTGTATATTCCAAAGTTCTATTATTTGATACGTCATCTCCAACCACACAGGCATTATACGGAAGTCACAAAAAGTCATTTACGCCTGGGCAAATGTCTAAATTTAACACGTCATTCAATTTTTTTCTGCAACCCAATTACTGCTATAGGCAGAAATGCAGACAACGAATAGCAAAATATTTTTGATTATACGGTTCGATTTGATATTGAAATTAGTATTAGATGGCAGAATTTTCTTGTCTAAACACGTGCGCTTAATACCAGAGATCGCATTATATTCCAATTTTCAGGGGAGTCAAAAACTTCTTTAGATGACGTTAATAGATCAAAGAGTATGTCTCAGCAAGTACTTATAATATATTTAACGACATTTCGAATGTTTCAACATTCATTTTCAAGTTACAAAAAGCATTGAACATAGAAATTTTGGCGGACACAAGTACATAATACAGGTAAATAGGATCCAACAAGGAAACTTTGAAACGGAAAATGACGCTGAAAACTTTCTCAAAGTTCAGACGATTTCGGTAGTTTAAAACGGTCACAGCAATCGTCGGCAGGTTAATATTGGGCGCCACTGCATAATGACGATGCTGGTGGTTTCCTCCAGCACGGTGTGAGCGACGGTCTTGTGAGCTTGTCTCAGGGGTTCTTTTGTCCTCCAGACTGTAGGTGGCAGGTGAGACGGTCTCAATGTAGTGGTTGTTAGTCAAATTACTTCCATGTAGTCCAAATGATGAAGAAGTTTACAACCTTCTTTGAAGTAAAATTTACAGACCACGTTGTTTTGTGGGAGAACCCTCGCTTTTTTGCAGTGTCCTTTGTTCCGTATACTCCGAAGCTTGACGTTGTTGTCGAGGGTATCACCAAGCCAGTTGAATTCATCGATGATTTTGAGATGAAGTCGCTCGTTAAATACTCAAAATCATCGTTCTTGGTTCAATTACTCCAGTGTAGACCATATGATGAAGAAGTCTACAACCTTCTTTAAAACAAAATTTACACTCTGTACAAAATTTACTGAAAATTACTGAAGGTTTCAGCTGCCACCTTTAGTCTGGAGGACAAGGGAACCGCTGAGACGAGCTCACAAGACCGTCGCTCACACGTACTGCATGTGCTAGAGGAACCCACCAGCATCGTCATCAAGCATTGGCGCCCAATATTAACCGACTGACAATTGCTGTGACCCTCATCTATGGGGATTGGACTCCAGCATTTATTTTCACACTACCGAAATTATCTGAACTTTCAGATAGTTTTCAGCGTCATTTTCCGTTTCAAAATTTCCTTGTTGTTATCCTATTTACATGTATTATGTACTTATGTCAGCCAAAATTTCATTATTGAATGCTTCTTGTAACTTGAAAATGAATGTTGATACATTAGAAACCGCGTTAAATATATTAAAAGTACTTGCTGATACCTGCCTTTTGATCAATTAACGTTATCTGAAGAGTTTTTTACTCCCTCAAGATAGATAATTTGATATTGATTATATAAACATTTTTAATTAAGGGCAAATGTTTTTCTAAAGTCAGAAAGAGTTCAAAAACGACCTTTCAACATTCCCTCCTCATCACGTGTTTTACTATTAATACTTTCAGGGCGAATGTTGTATAGACTACAAACGTTCAGTTATTGTTTTAATGCATTTTATAAATGAGATATTTATGGTGATTGTAAAAATATTACCATAACTGACAAAGGAATAGAAATTTAAACCCAGAATCAACTGTTATGAGTTGCATGATCGAAGGAAGCTCGGATTTAAGCTCAATGATATGGTGCACATTATTTTAAAGTTATTCGGCGAATCTTCATTTTTGTAGCGTTGGTATAATTCAAAAGATCAACTTGTAAGCAATTATGGCTATATTAATTTTATATTAGATTATATTCATACGATATATTAACTTTCATCGAATAAATAATTATTGGTAGAAATGAAAATTATTTTTTAACTCTATTTTTACATGATTATCATCGATAATCCTAATGAGGGAGAGGTTGATTCGGAAAGGAAAGAAATTCAAACAAATTTTTCAGCTTGCTTCTTTTTTAATGCCTTATTTTATTAAGACTTCTGCAACAAATGCTCCAACAGAAAAGTTTATATACAGCAATAGAAGGCCACGAGATAAAACCGGCTTGCGTGACGTCAATTAACATCCGAGTTTCGATCTCAAAAAATAATTTTCCAGTTCAGTCTGGGTCAGTAATTATTCATGATTTGGAGACTGGGTAACTAAAGCGGGTTGTTGCTGTCAGCTTCGACGTCCCTCTTGACCATCCGTGGAGCTCCCCCAGCAGCGCCCTCCAGCAGGTCCCTGAGCATCATCCTGATCTCCTCGAGACGAGCCTCATCCCCCCTGGTGGGGAGGTAGCGTCCCTCACAGACACCCAGCATCCCGAGGACCACCACCAGCACCGCCAACACCACCACCAATTTTTGTGAGCTGTTCATGTTTTCTTGACACCACGAGTCGTTCTTCTGCTAGCAACTTCAGGGCGTCCTAAAGCTCCGGAAGTTCAAGCTTGTCTGAATGTTAAGCCTTGAGTCCACCCTTATATACCCCGTCTCGTCCTGTGGTCAGAGAGAATAACTTTTTTTTCATAGACCTTGTACAATATTTAATCTAAGTGATCAACAGTAAATACCAGTTAAAACTTCAATTATGTCACTTCACGTAATACGACCATTATTTCATTTTTAATACAATTTTTCCACTTATGCTTAAGGAATAATGTCAAGAAACGCTCATGCCTTGAATGTCGCCATATTAATCTGCTTATGTTTTAACCAATCGCGTAAGAGGGTCTGGCTGCCTGATAAGGGATATTAACGATCAAATAAAACATCTGCAACGACCAGGATCCTTATTGCTTTTAATACACAACTTTTTATCAAACGCCCACCAAGGATTACATAGCTTTAAAATTAATGGCAGCCGAGATGGCCGGCTCATTACTCATCTTTTAAAACGATGTCACTGGACTCGGGGTATATAAGGGCTTCGGTCTCACTATTGACTCCGCAGAA